CACCTTCCAGGTGAAAAACCCAAAGCCCACAAATTCCCTGGGACATATTTTTTTTTAGGCTGACTGTTCATAGCTTAAATAGCAAAAGAGGGGCCCAAGATTCTGTCTCATACGGTCTGCCACACTCAATTTGCACAACTCACTGAGCACAGTCACAGGAGTTGAGGAGTCCTGACCATTAAGCACTTCCACACCCAACCATCAGACTCCTGAGCCTGGTCTTTTCCATTCACTGCCTTGCTTTTTCTTTTAGGAATATTATTTATGATCCCAATCCTGTTTTCTAGTTACACCACATAACATTCATGTGTCTCAAGGCCAGGATTTCAAAGGACTCGCATTATTCCTAATTGCATCCTTCATTTTGTAAACTCCTGGGTTTAGAAGGTATTAATTAGATTGGCCTAGTTAGTACTATTTTCAATTCATGATTTTTTCCATGCCTCATATATTTGGCATTACTCCCAGGAGCTGGCCTCAGGACACTGCACAAGGGCACTTCCAGCTCTCTTGCAGAGAAGAAACCAAATGAAAGTCAGAGCTTTTGCACCTACAGGCTCAGAAGAGCACCAATAAGTGTTAGTTAAAACAAGCCTCTTGAGTTTTTAAACCAATAAAGCTGTACAATGACATTAGAGGTTCTGATTTTAATACCAGTACTAATAAGTTGAACTAGTGTGAGCTCAACTATTTAAACTCTGGTCCAGACATAGCCAGAATAAAGGAATTCATCTCCAAAGGTTATATGTGCTATTTGTGCCTCACTTAATCTCCAAAGGCCAATAAATACATCAGCAGGATCATGAAAGAGCTATGCATGGAAGCCAGAGTTTCAATAAAAAGCTGGTATAGTTTCTGCTGGTTTTCTATGGGAACCAGAGGGAACATGAAAAAAGATACAAGAAAGGCAGAGAATTGCTGAGGGCTCATGGGATGACTTCAGTTGAGCCAAATGGAGCACAACCTCTGTCCCTCTGTCTCTCTCACTGAGCAAACCTATTTAGAAGTGAACATTACTCTATGTTCATCAGTCACACTGGGAAAAAAAAGTTATTATTGCAGATGAAAAACTATACCATGATAAAAAGAAACTGCAATCAAGCCTAATTTTTGTCACACAGTATCATAAGTGCAGTCATGAGAGTTGTGCTGAGGCTTGGTTAAAAATACTCCTTTGGTATTTTGCAAAGTTTGCAGGCTGAACTGACCTGGCAGTTTCTGTGTTTCTATCAAGTCTAGCATCCTGTCTCAGAGAGACACTTACACCAGCAGCTTCAAACAAGAAATGAAACCTCTCACAGCAAATGATTGATTATCAAAGGCAGACTGGCTCAGCTTTGTAACAAATGCTCCATATGCAATAACAGCATAGTAGTTACAACTTGTGTATGTTAAAAATCAAGAAGCCTTTGCTTTATCATTAACAGCATCGTGGACCTTTAGCAGCTGCAGAACTGCTGCCAGCTCTCTCTAACTATTTTCTGAACACAGTAAATGTTAGGTTATTTAACCTAGCGAGGTAAATTCAGCTGTGAGCTTTAAGAAAGAACAAATACTCCTGTATGGTTAAAATTGAGGAGATACAAATGTAAGATCTCAGTTAAAACTATAGAAATCCATCAATGTGCCAACATCATAATGTAATTGTACACAGCCCAACTCACAGTACTAATATGGCTTAATTTTTCCTTCAAATTTTGCCTGAAATTAACAAAGATTTTATTCTAGTTTGATAATGTTTTATTTCTTTTAATTCAAAGTATTTGTGTTCACATATATGACTGATAACCTCTTAGTTCTCTTCTAAACAGGAAGTTACACTGTAGAGTTCTCTTTTAAGATCTCTGATAAAGTTTACATGTATGTGTACATATGCATACCTGATTAGGGCTGGGATGGAGTTCATTTTCTTCTTTGTAGTTGGTACAGTGCTGTATTTTGAATTTAGTAGAGAATAATGTCAATAACATACTGATGGTTTAGTTGTTGCTTGTGGCACTCACTCTAAACCCAGAACTTTTCAGTTTTTCGTGCTCTGCCAGCAGGCAAGTGTGCAAGAAGCCTGGAAAGTGCACAGCCAGGACACCTGACCCAAAATGGCCACAGAGATATTTCATGCCACAGGACATGGTGCTCAGCATATAAACTTGGAAGGAAGTTGTCCAAGAACCAAAGGTTGCTGCTCAGGGATGGGCTGGGCATTTGTCAATGGGTGGTGAGGAATTGCACTGTTCATCACGTGTTGTTTTTAAATTTTATTCCTCTCTCTCCCTCTTTTCCATTACAATTATTGTTGTTGCTGTTTTCATTTGTGTTATTAGTAGCATTATGTTTTACTTTGTTTCAATCATTAAACTGTTCTCATCTCAACCCACAAGTTTTAATTTTTTCACCGTTCTCCCTACCCAGGGGCAAAGGTGTACGAGTGAGTGGCTGTGTGGTGCTTAGTTGCCAGCAGGGGTTAAACCACAACACAATATTTGTTGTTAACTTGTATTTCTGTGTGATGCTATATGTTCAGACATGAAAAACCACTTTATCAGGAAAGACAATAATAAATTTCTCTTTGCAAGCATTCTGTGTCTCCAGAATTCCCTAAACACCATTAAAGCCTTTCCGATTCTTTGCAACCCATGTTAATTAATATTAATTATACATTAATAAGAATACTCTGTGGCAGACAGCAATTCTAGACAGACCATAGACAGATCAAATCATACCTTTAATTGTGTTTTAAAACATGCAAAGTGTAAATTCTATACAATGCTTTTGAAGCTGAGAGGGTTAGGAGGACGTTACGGTGGTCTCTGTCCTCCCCAAGAGAGATGAGAGAACTCACTGACAGGAGGCCACCAGACAAATACATGCTCAGAGCTCAAGGAAAGTGTCTTTTGAGCTCCATGTTAATTACCCTCCCTCCTCACACACACACTGCTTCTTTATGGACAAAGAGACCAGTGTGGCTGAGCACATTTCAGGTACATACAGGTTTTTTGCCTAGAAGCACCAAAGTCTGGAGACATCAAAGCCCAAGAGAGGCATCTGTACCTGGGACTGCTGCCACCAGAGTGAGAGAAGGCCACCTCTAAAGAGACCTGAGGAACAAACCAGCAAAAAGCCCTTGTTCAGGCTGGCAGGCAGAACTGGCACCTGTGATGCTGGAATTCTGAGCTGCAGAGCCTTCTGGTGCCCAGGAGATAAGGGCAGGTGCTGAGCTGCCAGAAAAGGCAGGATGCAGGATCTAAGGGTTTGTATGGAGCAATCACGTGCACACAGCTGCAGCTGAACTACAGCACCTATGGCCAAGAAATTGCCAGACACTACCTGAAGCTCAGTCTCCTCTGATGAACAAGATACCTTCTTCAGATGGTATTCAGGACAGGGATTCAGGGTGAGGGGAGTTATTTGGAACAGAGGGGTGAGCTATGGAAGGGTGCCTGTAGCTACTGGGGCACCTTTGTGGCTCTGCAAAGAAGGATTTTCTCCCCCTTCAAGAAATGTCATGCAAACAGCTGAGCACTGGGACCTTGCTGACATTTTTCCCACTGGCTTCTCATGCTAATACATTTTAATTTAGCAGAGTACACTGATTTTGCTATTTTAACCCTCCAGTTTTCTTTGTGTCATTTTTTTCTTCAAGGAAGATATTAGGTTAATGCAAAATACTGTAGTAAGGAAATCAAGAGCTTCCTTTTCTGTCCCCAGTTCTGGCACAGCCTCCCTCCATGCCATCAGTGTTGTCTCAGGGCTCTCACCCTTGCAGTGCCCACAAAAGATTGTAATGCTTCCACAATTGGAGGAACTTTCTGGTTACATTTGACCAGCCCTATATAAATAGCAGGAATTTTAAGAGCAAGAAACCCCCTATAAGCCATATGGCATTTATATTAATATATTAATAAATTCCCCCCTAATTGCAACAGATGCTCAAGTCAGTAGTTTCACCATACAATACAATGCACTGTTATGTCCTTTTCTGTTGGCAAGAATAAGCCAGATGCTTTTCCACAACATACTGGCAGAAATATGGTGCTATACAGCCAGAAAAAGCAAACTTTACCTTAACTACAGATTAACATCTACAGAACAGCTTCTTCAATCTTGCTTCCTTAAAACTGATTAATTTTGACAGAGGATTTTCCTACCAATGTCTATCTAGATGATCAATACTGTTGGAGCTGAGATGGCTCCATCAAGTATATGAAATTTCCCTGATGTTACAATTATATTTTTCTTATTTCTTCCTGTAATACCATTAGACAAAGGAAAAAATTAGTAATTTTCGTTTTTCCTCCATTAACTACTTTTTTCTTATTTATCTTCTCTGTTCACTCTCATTTAGCTTTATTCTCATTTTCTCAGAGAGCAAAGAGTGCTAACCTGCTTTCCTACTTCACTCATTAAATATAATTTTAATTATTTTTACTTCACCCATACCTGTTAGTTCTCTAAAGTTCTCTTCCAGCTGCATAAATTAGCACCTCACTATTCTAATCATTCTCTGTTGCAAATATCACCACCTAATTTTGGCATTTGATTCTTTGCTCTTTGATCCTTTAATTGGCACCTACTGCTGAATTCCTGTGGGGCTACAGACCTCCCAGTAATTCACATTACCAACTCTTACCTGACCATATTTCACAAATTGTTGAAGCCACCTGAAGACTGCATGGCCACCAACCAAGTGTTATCCCAGCATCCCAGGATCCCTGGGCGCAGGTTCCCACCCCGCTGCTGGCACTGGCATTGCCACTTGTGCACCCACACAGTCAGCCAGACCACAGCTGCTCTTTCAGCTCTTTGGGCCTGTTTTGGGACCTAAATTTTCTGCCAGATCGTGCCAAGGGAGCCAGCAAGGAGATGAGCAGAGAGGGAAAAAGGCAGGACTGCCTTTTCTGCCCACAGGGCACACAGAGGACTCACAACAAGTATGAAACTGCCATCTGGTAAGTGCAAAAACCACACAGTGACAGGAGGAAATGTGTATTTAGATTCTCTCCAGCTACCACTTTTCTGTTTTAATCACAATCACAGTTTCATGTGGGCTATGCATTGCCCTTGTGGGGAGGGGGGTGCCATTTGCTTCACTGAGCTGCTGAACTTCTCCAGGCCCTCAGATGAGCCAAGAGCAGAGCACAGGACAAGAAAGGGGCAGGTTTTGCAATCCTCAGTCATCAGTTTCAGCAGGAGTTTGTCTGCAGGGGAGGAGGGAAAGCCGTTAACGGAATAGGCCTAAAAATAAATGCAAGGGTTTCCTGGCATTGTTTTCTGGTCCTCTGTATTCCCCCTATGAAGGAAAAAGAACAGTTGGGATTCAAACTGCATTTTAGCTTGTTGTTAGAATTCAGATCCCAAGAAAATATATGATAGGACTCAGAAACAAAAGCAGGTCTTAGATGATGACCTTCACTTCTGTTGTCCCTGGGGTTTGTAAAAGAGAAAGGAAATCACCCATCATTACCAACACCCCTTCAAATTACTAGATACAAGCTTAGGTATCCAAATGCCATACACTTAGAGGACTTTCTTTCCTCCAAAAGCTAGACCACTTTTATAGAAGAAACTAGTACATTACATTTAACATCTTAAACTTTTCCATGTCAGAGAATGTAATGAAAGCTCAAATTTTTTCTTTCAGTATATTTAGGGAACCTGTCAGAAATTCTCCCACATCTGCAGCAACCAAATATACAACTTTTCTAGCTATGTATCTATCTATGTCACAGGAGAGGCTTAAAAAAGAAGCAGCAATATTGATCTTTCAGAAATCTATACAAAAACTATTTAGGTTCATCTGTCTTGGATACCATAATTATAGGGCACAGCTCTGTCTGGCTGTTAGGTTCCTCAAAACAAGTTGAAAAGTAGTAGTTTGAGTATTTATTTTCTCTTTTGGAGTACCTCATTGCAATTGTCCTAAAGATAAAATGTCTACAAGTTTTCCTAATGGCTTTCAAAAGCAAAAATGCCCATTTTTAGTGGGAGGGCTGTACAAGATGTGTATAATAGGCAAAGTCCACCGGAGTCTGGATGCATCTGGGGTTTGTTGTGCTGATGCAGCAGTGCATGATTTTCTCACTGTTGCCCTTCTGGTGCCCTCACCCAGCTGCTGTGGGGGAGTGAGCCAGGGCCTGTGTGAAGCTGAGCTACCTACCAAGGTTAAACTAAAATAACTTATTTCACATTTTTTTCCTGTCCTAGTCAGTCTTGACTTCATGTTACAGAGCCTAAGAGCCCCCAGCTTATTGTTGGTAGACCTCATAAGACTTTCAGTGCACATAAATAAAGTAAAATTTTGTTTAACTCACACAGTTATATTCACAAAGATATTTGCTTGACTAACGTTTTCCAGTGTGGGGAACAAGAGCCAGTTTAACTGGTATGATTTGCTGCAGGGATGGCTCCTCTCCTAGTTTGATGTTTGTCAGATGCTTGTCCTGGTCCTCTGCTCCTGCAACACCAACAGCTGCTTCAGCTGTTTCCCTCAGGCATTTTGCTACCCCTTGCACATCTGCTGGCATCCTGAATCCTCTTGACCTGAGTAAGCAAGTCCTCATCACCACCCTGACTTCTGCTAGACAGGAATTACAGATGCCCAGAGCCACCTGCTACTCTTCCATCCCTTATTTCCTACTCATCGAGTCACACTGCTCTCGCTTGTTAGGGGCCAGAGTGCTTTGAACACAAGACAAAGATGTTATCAGCATTATTTCTGTGTACATATCCTGTTTCAGTCCTTTTTTCTTTTAGGTCCTGCCCTCCTTGTGACTTCTCCATGACCTTACCACTTGCTCTGTGAGAGTGCCTCTGGTTATTGTGCTTCTAAGCTTAGATGCTTTCCTGTTATTGCTTTACCTTGGTCTGCTGCGTGCATTCCCAGCAGACAAACAAGTGGAAAAAGGCTGAAGCTGTAGTCAAAATGCATTAATTTGGAAGTATAGCATATCTCTCTGAGGGACAGGGGAATGAAAAAGATCTCAAAACCAAGGAAGTGGATTATATAATAGAAAATATGTCCACAGCTAACCATTTTTCTTCTGAAGCAGTTTAACATGACAGTTCAGCTTACAGAGATGATCTGAATGCTGTCCTTCACCACTCTGACCAATGAGCACTAGCTCAGGAAAGTGGCTAAATAATATATAAACTATTATCAGAGACAGCTTTGTAAAATATACACCTACAGACCCAGGGCTGCCCCTGTTTGTTTGAATTTTACCTCTCCATCTGACAGATGTCTGTCAAAGCCTGTGCTGTTCTGGCTGGCTGGTGAAGCTGGAGCATCATCAGTGGAGGCAGAACACAGCGAGGAGCCAGCCTGGCCAGGAGGCAGCTGCCACCACCTGCACTGATGCAGAGAGCAGCCACCAGCTCAAATCCCTTCTCCAGCTCCTGTTGATCTCCTGATAATACAATTACTTGATCAAGCCCCAGATTCATCAAAGACAAACTTGATCTCTGAATCATGATGTGATCTTGGGACAATGAAATTTTTACAGTCGGGATGAAACGCACAACAGGAGCTTTTACAGGAGCTGGGAACAGAACATTTTTGGATGCTGAGAAATGACACTCTTCTTCCTGAAAAAAGATAAGCCTCAAGTCTGATTCATAGAATAAAAATAAACATTATACATGAATATAAAATTGATGACCATTTTCAATAAAGCTATGAATATAATTTAAAATAGGAATGGACTACCGTGATAATTTGTTTTGGTCTCCTACAAGGTATTAAATATATGAATTCCCTGAATTCTTGATTTAAAAAACAGTTTGACAATATCTATTACAAGCCTGTTACTAATTATCCTCCTTATTAATAAACTGTCATTTTATCAGTAAAAATTAAAATAAAATATTGTTATTCTACAGTGAGTGTAGTGTGGTAATACGTTAGCTCATTTTCTTATAAAATGTTGAATTTACAGGTCAAAATTTATATCAAATTGCAAATACATAAATAGAGATTTTCACTGTTCTGACAGCCTTTAGAAATAATCAAATACACAAAATGTTGGCATCATGGAAAACCTGTATAGAAACCTGGTTTGTATCCAAAGTAAATTAATCTCTTTCCAAAATGCATTCTAAATAAGAATTGATTTGGTAACATTTTAAAATTGTATTATCAAGAAAGCCAAGTCTAAACATACCATTTTAACTTGATTTGCCATTTCTCATTATCATTTTACTATTTATTTTGTCCCATTTTTCAATTGAATGACTTAAGTATTGCCCTTGAGATGCTCCTATTTATAGCACATCTTAGAATTTATTAGGTTCACAAAAATTCAGTCAATGATGTTGACCTTTACAAGAAAGAATCACTCAGACTTCTTAATTCCATTTCACTGCATTGCAGTGGTAGCTATCTTTCTCCATTTTATCTATATTTTACCTATTTATTTCACTATCCTAAGGTTCCCTCAAGCAGGGGGACATTTTAAAGCTTCAATTTTTCATAGCCTCTTTATTAAATGCAAATTTCCTCTTTTTGTAATTTTCCTTTTCACTGAAAACATAGGACAACAGACAAAAAATCACTAATATTTAAGAAAAAAATGTTGGTTAGTGAGGTGTTGTAAGGAATGTTCTGCAAAGACAGAGAAGCCCTTCTTTCCACAAAAGCATGGACAAGTCCAGACCTGATTAAACTGAAGAGTGACCATCCAGGGCATCTTACAGTAAAGTGGCTTTTCTGCTTCAAAATTAATAGTAGGACCACTAAGACTAGGAATACCAGCACACAAGGGGAAAAAAAAAAGCCAAAACAACTCATGCAAAACTGAATTAACTCAGTAGACTACCAAGAGGTTAAATAAAATGTCTGCACAAGGAAGAACATACATCACGGAAAAGCTTCAGCATACCAAGTAGATAATGGGACTGCGGACTCACGGAAAATAAGGTGATGGCAGGTTAATTAACCACATTTCATGTAGACCTAGAAAGATCACAAAAGGGGAAGAGTCTCAGAAATGGTAGTAAAAAAATCTATATTTTAACTTTCAAAGTTGGAATTGGCAGGGATTTTTTTTGCAGTAGCTGTCACTAACTGCTGACTGTTTCATGCTGGGGTTCAGGAGCATGTGCCCAGTGAGAAATACCTCAGCACAGAGGTTCTTTTAGAAACTCAAGAGGAGCTAGAAGGATGAGAAACCTAGACAGAAACAGGATATTTACTCAACTAGAGCCAAAAACAAAAGCACCAGCTCCAGTGCAATGACACACAGAGGAGGCAAGTATTTATTAGGGCCATAAAGTGATTTTGTCGCACCTAAGGGTCAGCAAAGTTCATACTTCCAATCTTTCTTCTCACTTTCTTATGATTATGAAAAAAGTGGCAGAGTATCTTCCTCTTTGCAAATATAAGACCTTTTCTACCTCACAAGCCATCTCTGCCACCCAAAGTCACCCCAGGATCATGGTTCCCAGGAGAGCCAGCAGAGCAGACAGGGACCCCAGCCCCTCCGAAGCATCACAAGGCAAATGAAGTGATGCCCAGATTGAGCCTCTGGAAAACTCTCCTCCTCTTACTTTTGGAAAGTCAAACTTACCAGTTTACAGCGTGCACTTGTAGATAAATGGATGTTCCCTAGCAGACTCTGCAGGGACTTGTTACCATACAGTGTGTGGTGCTGAAGAGAAATCCCACAGCTCCGCTGACTGCAGCTGCAGTATCCAGTGTCTGCCTGGTAATAGCAGCTCAGTTCTATCCCTACAAGATGGGGATGAAAGAGAGAGACCATTTCATTTTGTAAGACACGGATTAAAACAGAAATCTGCAATAATAAAATTGTGACAGAAAACTACAAGGCAGGTTTTTTCCAGTAAGGCCAGCATGCTCCCAGCTGTTCTGGTGAGACATGTCTGTCCCTGTCTATCACCTTTGCCATGCTTGAAAAACCTCCTTCTTTTCTGTCAGGATTTTCTGGTGACAGTATTCTCTGTGACAAGTCACATGGCAATGCGAAAAACTAGATGATCCTTTCCATTCCTCCTTGATGTTACCATGAATCACATATTCATTGGATCTCTCTGCTACTTTTCCCAGGAGGAGTATTTTTTGTGTGAGAAGGGTGAAAATAAAAGGAGGGTGAGATTTGTCATCACACAGAGAAAAAACTCTGGAGCGTGCTATTTATGGGACACATCTACCTGCTCACTGACCTTACTTTCTCTGCACATTTATATATCCATTAGAATTTATTAACTATGAATACATTAGGCTCCAGGTGCATAACGTAGTGTCTAGAAAATGTATTTTAATAAAATATCCCAACAGCATGTCCAGATAATGCCTGCAATGTCCCCATATGTCTCACTACACAGATCACACAACTTAGTGTGCCCTGGTAATATATGAGCTGCAATGGTATCATCAGCTACACTCATTACCATTTAAGATAGGACAAAAAGGCAAGGTCCTATTAAGTGGTTTTTTGTTTCTAACTGTTCTGTTTGATACTTAAGAGCATAATATTTTAATTAAGGGGGTCGTTTTCCCATTATGGAAATAATTTTGAAGCAACTTTCCTCCTGGTTGCTTAAGCAGGTTCATTACAATGCAATGCAATTTACCCAGCTGGACAGGTCTGCAGGTGGCCAGAAACCCATTAGAGAGGTATCTACCTACTACAGGGGAAACTAATATTCAGGAGACAGGAAATCTCACAGGGACTTCGATTTTGCCAGCATTAACACAGTTGACTGGGTAGCAGGTGGCTGGAAGCATAAATTTCCCTGTAACTTATTTATTAGGTCTCCCTTGCCTCCCTTCTTCTAGAATTATGATATGCTCTTGGCATTGATAAACCCCAGCAAGGGCACACTTTAAAGAAACAAGTAGCAAAGTCTTGATAAATATTTTTTATCTATTTGACCTGAGCTATTTGAACCAAACTGGAGTCTTTTTCTTTTCTTTTCTGAGGAGAAAATAAAATATTCCTATGATGCAAACCTCCCAATTTAGAAATAATTTATAACTGCCTGTCTTCCTGAATAGAATAAGAGTCAAAGTGGAATTAGATTCTTCTGTCACAGTTCCAAACCTCCTTTCATCCAACTCTCTGCCTGGAAAGCTTTCCATCAGTTTTTTTTTCCCTACACTATAATCTGGTTTTCCTCTCTGTTTTTTCCCCTCTCCATATTTCCATTATGTTTTCTCTACCACTAAAGCTTTAGTCCCTCTGCTCATTCCCGTGGAAATTATTTGAGCTACAAAGTTTGGTTTTCACTTACCATATGCCTGTGTACTGTTTATATGTTTCAGTTCCCTGGTGCCCCCAAGGAGCTCATCTGAAGTTCATGCTTCCATGGAAGGCTCATCGTCACACTCCCCAGCTCTAAAGAGGTTTACTTCTGTGTAAACCAGAACACAGAAAAGAACATTTTCCATTCGTTCTGGCAGGAAAAGCATAGACAATTCTCTCATGAGTGTTTTGGGAATAGGTACTCAAATTCCCTAGACTATTCTGAAAATTTCAGCATGAATCCACAAAAGCCAAGGCCTGTATCACCGCACTGCATGGCTCACAGAGCTGCTTGTGAGGCAGCGCTCACCACACCTTCAGTTTCACAGCACACTCACCTGTTCTGCTACAGCATAGCAGAAACTTGCACGTAGCATTTTTTTTCATGGTTCATTCAAGGCAATCTCCTATTCCCCCTCCAGCTCCATGACCACATGTGCCACCTGTGGATGGTTGTGGATTTGTACAGATCTAATGGAGCTGCCTCAATCCTCCCTGCTCCACGTGCCACACATGTCCCACGTCACAGTCTGACACACCACTAACTCTTGTGCTGCACAAAGAGGCCCTGGAGGGGCACAGGAGTATATGGACAGCTATGGTATCCATCTTTCAAGACCAAAAGTTTTTGGAAAAAGCATTGCCTTATACATACTGAAGAAATAATTCTCCCTGCTAACACCCACACAGGTTTTCCTGGAATTCACAGTCTCTGAGTAGGCAACAGATCCAGAAAGTTGATATAGTTACTGTAAGTGGTTTGGAGAATGGAAGTAGACCTTACATCTGCTTCTAAGAAATTTCATTAATAAGTAAACATATCCATAAATATTCTGAATAGAACAGGGGCAAGAAAGACATACATTTCATCCACTTAGCAACAGGAAAGCAAGAAAGGATTTCTTTTCATAGGCTTTTCCTGTAAATTATATGGGAGAGCTGCATAAATCTTCTTTGACTCAGTTTAGCTATACACTATGTTTTCCTGTTAAAATATTCATATAAAATGAAGTATCCACTAGGCAGACAGACAGGAGCAGAGACCATGGAGGTGTAGCAGGCTGTCGGAGAAACAGACTCCTCCTCACAATACAAATTACAAAAATCTCTAAAGTGGTCAATGTAAATTGAATCTCTTCAAAACTGGCTTTAATGTATTGTCATTTCATTTGTCCTTTTTCCCAAATCATTCCAACTTTTCTCTGTTATAGCTGGCACAGAGGAAACAAATCATTACAGTACCACACACCATTACTAGACAAATCCTGGTGGCTTCATTAACACACATCTCATCTTAATGACAGTCTAAGTCCCTTAAAATAAGGCTTTAAATAATAAACTCAACCACAAATATACCACAATTGCAATAAATTCATATAAGACAGTCAGACACTATGGCAGTAAGAGGTTAGATGGCTAGGAAGATACACTCTCAAAGCCACTTGAAACACAATTACAAAGGAAAACCTTTCAGCTGTGTTTTCCCTTTATAGAAAGCAATGCACTGTTCCTTCAACACCTTCAGTTCCTGCCTTCCTTCCAAGTGAAAGAGAAAAGGTCCTCTTTGCAATCTCTTGACCCTAAAGAAAGAATTTGCATTAACTTCAGGAATTCCTGGGTTTGGCCCCAAAACATTTTCTTCATTGGTGTCCTGGACTTTTATGGTACAACAGCTATCCTGGGGGTGTATAAGTTTCTTAGGAATTACCCTTCTACCCACGTACCTGCCTATGAGCAGTCCTGATCAGCTCCAAGGTAAACAAATGCCATCACATCCTCCACAGCAAGTGGGCACCTACCCTGAAAAAAACATGCAGTTAACTCCAAATCATCAATACACCAATTCCAAATGGAGCCAAGCCTCAAGCACATTAGATACATCCAAAGGAGTGTTTGATGTTGTCTGGTCCCAGAGCACTTTGTTCCACATACAGGAGCCTTACATCAACCTACATAAGAGAGCAAGCTCCCTACTTAAACAAAGGAAAAAGCATTTCATTCACATTCTCTACACAGGTCTGCAGAGGTACTCAGCCCCTGCAGTGACTGCAGAATCCTGTGCACCTAATTTCAGCAGTGTTAATTCCCCCTGCCAAGACTAAACACTCACATGGTTTTTCACTGCCTAAGTAATGATGGTAGGTGATCAGAGTCTGGCTTAATACCACGTAAAAGTCCTTGGAAGTGAATCATTCCCAAAAATGTTTTCAGCTTAATTCCCTGGTAGGAAAAGTGACTGCTCATGATGACCATTTGTGAAGTGGTTGCAAGCTATACATTTTACTTGTCTCTTCTCTAATGTTTGGCCTTAGTTTTTCTACATTTTTCCATGCTTTTTCTTTCCCCCCTCCCCCCTTTGTATTTAGGCACAGAATGTTATATCGTATTGTATTGTATTTAGGCATAGAAGTATTGTTTACTATCTCATTAAGCTCATCTGAGAACAATCACAAGCTCCATTAGACCACACTGGCAATATATGGCTTTAATTATTTTTTCATAGAAGATTATCACACTGGAGTAGAGTAATAGAGTGGTTGTGACATCTTGCTACAAATTCTTACATGGGAGTGCATGCAGTGGGAACAGGGCCTGGGGAGGGCTAATGGAGAGGCAGAAGAAGGCAGAACTGTTATTTGGGGGTTCTCTAAGGAGAAGGATCTTGGTGAAATATTTCCATATGCTACACATTCTAAAAGTACTTCCACTTTTAATGTCATATGGTCAGAATTACAGATTCATCATGCACTAAAATCTAAATCAGGTCACTAGTCACTTGTTACGATGATAGTCATGCTTTTATTAAAACTCTTAAGCAATTTTGATCTGATAGATTTTCATAAAACTTGATCTCTAAACCATATTCTGCTATTCCTGTATTTGCTGTTCAATCTACCTTGCAGCACAGTAAAAAGTCCTACCATCTGGCAGAAGAATCAAAATCTTGCAATTTAGAACATAATTCTAAGCTTTCTTGGTATGTTTTTTTGGCAAAGCCTTTGTCCCAAAGTATGAATTCTCCTTACAAGCTAGAAAATATTTCCTACGATATTTACAGCCAGAAAAGCTTTGGTACAAAGTGTCTCTTTTCACCAATTCATGCTGCTTCTAAAAGCAGGGGAAAATTGGCCTCAACATCCTTAATGCTCTTGGCTTTCACTTCATCAAGGCTTTTCTGTTGCAACATTCAATACTGGCAATATGAGAATTTTTGTGCTGGCAAGACAGTTTTCTTCTTTCAAGGGATCATAAAATAGCATTATGCATTTATTCAAATCCTACATAGTAAAGGTTATTCCACTGCCAAGGTTGTCAAGGTCTAAATCTTGGCCTCCCTTTTTCATCTCCAGGATATTTGCCATTACTTCATCTCCAAAGAACTATTTCTTTTTCTCCAATCTCCCCTAAACACACCTAAAGAAAAGCCTTGAATCCTCCAATAAGTCAGTGTAAGAGCCTGCAAACAGCCTGTGAACGCTCCCCAGAGAAGCCAGCAGAGTCCACTGGAGACTCCAGCTGGGATGAGGACCGACACAACTGGTTCTCCTGCAGGCAAGAGGCTGCTGCCCATAGAGGGGTAGGGCAGCTTTGCAGGAGTCTGAGAAAAGCTGTATGGAAAAGCTCTTTAGTCCTTCAGCTTCCTCACAGTCTCATGATATTTTTCAAACCACCTGGCTAGGGCCTGTGACTTGGCAGGCGCTACTGACCTTCTGGCAATTTAATGAGACCCATTGTTTCAGTTCCAGGCTCCACTTCTTTAAAACAAATATCTGGTGCATAGTGAGTGTATAAATATGCACAGAACTCCAGAAATTTCCAGCCTCGCAATTCCATTGTTCTGCTGTGATCTCTGGCTCTCAGGGGCCTTTAGCCCTTGTCAGTAAAATCCTGATGGTGAGGAACAGATAACTTAATTACCTTGAAATTGAAGTTTCAGCCTCAGTGTTACCTAGCAATGCGTGCATCGAAAGCATTATACTTTAAAAGCCATCTGAAAGCATGGGAAGGTTGCCAACTATTCAAGTATTGTCATAGTTCTGATTTTCTCCAGCTCCCCTGATAGGCACTCAGAAATGGGACCAGCCTTCCACAGAGGAAAGACAGCTGGAATAAAGACAACTCCATTTAACTCCTAAAAACTTTCAAAGCAAAGAATTGTACTTGGCCTCACTATTGTCATGTGGGTGCCCTCACTTCTCACTGGGGAAGAAGTGCCTCCCTCCACTCTTGGCTGCCTGGAGCAGGCAGGTTCCTATTGAGTCAGCTCAACAGAAGCCCTGCAACCACAGCTTTTTTAACTGGAAGCTTTGTCAGCATGTCTCTGCTAGGCCCACAAGATTGCCATAGTGACTATATTTGGTTTATTGTGGATTTCTGCCTCCTGGTCCTCACAGTGAAAGCTTGATTTCAAGGTAAAGAGAAGGCCAGGAAGCCATGGAAGACTTTGGGAGATTCACTCTGATTCATATTTCCTCATCACTTCCTAGATTACCTGTCCTGTCCAGGCCTGTTACCTCTCTCCAGATGAATCCCCGATGATGGACAAAGGGCTGGCTATCATCTTGTCTGAGGTGCTCTACTCACTGCTTGGCTGTATAGGCCTTTGCTACTTTTGCAGACTTTGGGGCAGGACCTGTCATTTCATGCTGGAGCTGCTCTGACAGGCACTGGTCCAGGATGAAGGCTGCTAAGCTCTACCATGATAAAAATAAATAGATGAGACTCTGGGCAATCTTTGTCCCCCTTCACATTTACAGAGCTCAGAAAATTTTCACCATACAATTTCATCTATGTATATTTGTCCATCAGAGAAACTTGTCACACAAATGTGACGGGTGACTACTACGGAGCTCATTCTCAGAGATTTTGTGTTCTTCTCCTTGGAAAAGTTTTACATTTTAACATGGTGCACTGTCTTCCCTGGAAGCATCTTCAGAGCTAGACAGAATAAAAAAGGAAGTGAAGAAACACTGAAATCAAGCAAAGTGGAAGGTCAGAGAAGAGTGTAAATAACCATATAAACACTTACCTCTCCCAACCTATCCCAGGATGGAGCAGTTCCCCTCTTCAAAGTAATGACAAAGCTCCTCTGCACAACCCTTTTATCATTCTCCCTTCCTTCCACTGCTGCTAAAATTTCTACAGATGCTACCTTAAAGAATCTGCTCATTTGAGCTAAAGCCCTGTGTTTGTACTGAAACACAGAAGTAGCTCATTAACTCCTCTTAGATAAATTGTTTAGACTTACTAATTCTCTCCTTTCCTCCCCTTACGTGTTCAGCCTATTGTTTATAGCTAGCATTCCAGGCTGTGTGTGATGAAAATGCTGATGTGTTTCCTGAGTTACAGACTCAAGCTTTATCTCATCTGTCATTTAGGAAACTGGCTGCATTATCATTTTATACTGCTGTGTGCAATGTTTATTTTCCCCCATTATTAACATTGTATAGGAGGAAGTGCCCAGCCCCATCAGCTGGTAGCTGTATTGTGCATACCATACAGAAACACACACAAAATTAAAGGGAATATATAGTGAAAAGGTTTGGGGAAATTTGTGAGCACACATAGTTTACAAATTCTCTGTGATATTTGGGACAGCCTCTGGGGGACAGTGTCTGTGTATTTATATCCTTCACACACTATCTTGATGCAGATTTTGCTGGTATTCTCTGCTGGGTTTAAGTTCCATTTTTCAATCAAAATCGACAGGACGTGATAAAAAAAAACGAACTCCTGGCCTTTGTACAGACCTAAAAATATCACCTATGCATCAGAAGCCCTCCTAGAAATAACTCCTTCCCAGGTTTTCCTCTGTTTGAATTCCAGGGAGGCATCACTAAGCAGTGACTCACCCAGGATCATGAAAGCAGCAAAGGTGACCCGGGCTGCATGTGAGTCTCTGACTAGATATTCTGGTCAATAACAAACTAATTGAAAAAGTCAAAGACAAGCCCATGATTTAGAGAAGCTACGTTTAAGAGAAAAAGAATCCTGAATTTCGGATAGGATTTTGACTTAAATCCAAAGAATGCACAAGTGGTTAGTAAAAAGAGGCACATGCTTATTAATTTGTCTACAAGAGATATCTCTAGGGCTAGTTCAAGTGCATTGATTTTTCAATCAATTTTTGCAAAGCCTGTTTAACTTTTTGCTTTAACTACTGAAAGCAGTAAGTATTGGGAGAGAAAAAGTGTTTATTCTAATATTAAAAAGAGGAAGAGCATAGGTTGTAGGGGCCAAAAGCAACTGAATTAAAAGATAACATCACTGTGAAGGTGTAAAATTGCCTATTTTGGGCTTTGTACTGCATATGAGGACAGCGTCTAAATCTGCAACATTCTCACATGTGGTCGTCACCATAAGTATTTTGAGTTACTGTTTTTATCAAGTGGGCTCATTGCATCCACACAGTGGATTGCCCTGGGTTTCTGAAGAATCCCAAAAATAAGATTATCATACCCTCTTAATGTCAGACAGTTCAACTCTTCCTAGGGATTCTATCAAGTGCTCTTCTTGAACCAATTTTCTTTTCAGAAGAATAAGCAGTCTAATAATAAGCATTCTACTAAAAACATATTCCTTCCAAATTTCACCTACAACGATAGAATACCCAGAAAATTAGTTAACAGTTCAATCTCTTTCAAAATGGTTTATCTACACTTGCTTATACTGACCTTTGTTTGTAAAGAATTATCACTCCAAAATAACTTACATTTACCTAAACTGGAACAAAGAGTCCTGACAAAAATGCGTCCTGTCAAAATCCAGCTGGAACTTAGACTTGCTGCTCAGGTCTGCTTCCTTCCCTCTCCACACCCAGCAGTATTTTTTTCTCTAATTCAAATGGTTTCAATTCCATTTAATATCCTCTTTCTAAACACCTCACTTCCTCATTAATTCCCAGAACAATGTGTGGTTTCAAATGTTTACCTTGTGGTCATCCACAAAGCTCACATAAGCAGTGCCAGAGCTACATAACAATCTCCATGGATTAGTTGTCGGAGACTTGGGCCGAGTGGATTCAATTTTCTGAATTTTCAGACTTTTCATAATAACCTTGGCAAGGTTCAAACCACCTTGGAGTCGCTGACTTTCTACCAAATTTCTCAGCTCTCCAGACATACTTTTCTTACACCACTTAAAATTAGTCACTCACTAGAACACCCATCTCAAGGTATTTGCTGTAGTTATTTTGGGATCAATAAAAACAGGCATACTGGAAGAGCTACAGACTAAACCAAAATAGTTTAGAGATGAAGTGTTTAAACTGCTTTTCTCTTTCTGAGCATGGTGTCTCCTGCAGGGGCCCTGGAGGCGAAGCCTGTGCAGTACCAAAACAGGATCTGAGTCTATATTAGACTCACACTATATCCAGCTGCAGCACAGGGACATTCAGCCCATTTGCTTTAAGCCAAATCTCTCTTCTTCCCATTCAGGGACTGTCACAGCGTAGATGTGCTGTATTCCAGCGCATTGTGGCTGTGATGTGATCTAGTGGCTGTGATAACCTAGTGCAAGCTGCAGGTGATGTTTAACCTGTGATATCTTCCTGTAATCTGAAGGAGCTATTTCAGTGCTCTCCCCTCCCTTGGCTCTCCTTCCTCCATCCCTTTTCCAGCCCTGGAGCCAGCAGCACCAGGCTCTGCCTCCCAGGACTGCCATGATCTTACAGGGGCAGGACGTGGGACATCCTCCCCGTGCAACACAGGCGAACCGGCTCAGCAATCTGCTCCACATGCAGAACACTAGATGGCACACAACAACCGCTGTATTGCTGCTTTTTTGGTTTGGAAGCCAAAAATTTGTTTCAAAGCATCAGCCTGGAATGTGGCTAAAAGCACCGAGCAAAACATGAGCCTAAATACACTGTTAAAACCTACTGGGCAGATAACCTTTCCAATAAAATTTCACCCCTCTTGCTCTGTCAGAGTTATTTTTCTATTTAGAGCTCTGTCTAACTTGGCAGCCTCGGAAAGTAAACAGATACTTTATTTAGTGGCTTGTTGACAGGCAAGGGGATGCTCATTTTGGTGCAATGTGAAATAACAGACTGGCATGCAAAGTAAAGCCCCTTTGGCCCGGCAAGCTCCACAGTTCAAAATATAACTGCTGGGACAAGACTCAAGTGATATAATTACCTGTCACGGGGATTCTGTTAAAGGAGCAGTGCTTCACTTTGCAAGTGAAAGCAAGTACTCACTTTCACTCTTTACATAGCTATAAGTATTTTTTTTCCCTGTCCCAAGGGACCTAGAAGCCCAGAAACAGAAATTCTGCTCTTACAACTTTATACACTTCATTGGATCTGTGCTTACTGTGGGTCTGTTTTAATTCTGGGAGAAGTGGAAAACCAAAGGAAAGCATTTACAGGAGGAATCTTCACACTTCATTTCCAAAATACTGAAAAAATCAGTTCCTGATGCTACTTCACAAATTCAACACACATAAACTGATGAATGGTCTGGAGCACATTTTATGAGGAGTGGCTGAGGGAGCTGGGGGTGTTTAACCTGGAGAAAAGGAGGCTCATAGGGGACCTTACCAATCTCTGCATCTGTCTTAAAAGAGGCTGTAGCCAGATTGGGATTGACTCTTCTTCCAAGTAACAAGTGACAGGACAAGAGGAAATTGCTTCAATTTGCACCAATGACCTCAATTTGAATTTGAGGATCAAATTGGATATTAGGAAAAATACCTTGAAAAGAATTGGCAAGCATTGGAACAGGCTGCTGAAGCAAGTGGTTGAGTCACCATCCCTGGAGGTATTTACAAAATGCGTAGATATGGCACTTAGGGACATGGTTTTGTGGTGGACTTGGCAGTGCTGGGTTAATGGCTGGACTTGTTGATCTTGGAGGTCTTTCCCAACCTAAATGATTCTACGATTCTATGACTCTAACTTCTGTGAATGTGTGACATTACTATTTAACTGAAAAAATGTGAACTTTCAATTTCCTCCCTACTGCTAGTAATTGGCACGGCTTCTTTGGCAAAGAGAACCATGCCCATGATTACACAAGTGAGGTTCCATCCTAAACTCACCAAAGCAGGAAGCTGTAAACAGCAGTTTACTGGCACAAGGGTGTGAATCCTTCCTTGCCTGTATCAACTATCGGACATGGGGGTGGGGAGGGGAGACTTGACTCTGAAGGTGGCTGGGAAGAGACCTAGGAGCCCCCTAGGTGGGGATTTTTCTGAGAAAGCAACCTCAAGCTCTGGAATCAAGAGCAGTGTAAAGCACCCACCAGGTTAAGAGATGACTCGTCCAGGGAGAAAGGACATTCAGTGGTAACCAGAGCCTCTGCCAGATATGAGTGTTGGGGGTTTTTTTCTACTTTCATTTCCTTTCAAGTATTTTTCATGTTCTGCATTTCATGGGGTTTTTTTCAACTATATAAATAAGTGTTTTATTTGTTTTTAACTTGCTCCTGTTTGTGTCAAGAATAACTTCTGATTAACTGGCAGAACTTTATGGTGTTCCAGTCCTCCATGATGGCCATCCTAAATAAACAGAGTTCTAGATACTTCTCCCCTGCTTCTCCTCTTTCCCACACATAACAAGGTGTATTTCCACATAGTTTCAGGGACCAGTTTGAGGTGGAAAAAATAGATGCCTTGGGAGAAGAATTTATGCCTGGAAGTATCATTAACCTAGAAAATTCTTCAGCATTAAGTAAAAAAGAGAGGAGGAAGAACAGATAAATTAATGGGCTTTTTAAGGGATATGTAATAGAATTACTGGTATCTTATTTTTCAGTTTCAAGTTAAATTCCTGTCCTACCAAACATTGTTTGAGCTAAGTGATATCTATTTCAAGGATGCCATGGTAAGCAAACTGATGAAAAAACTGTGAACCATGTAAATCCACATTCTGGCCTACAGGAAATACTCTTCCAAAAATATTTTTGCAAAGTTGTGGGTGCGTGCTGACAGTTTGCTGTAAGAGCTGCATATAACTAATGGAAGCATATAAGCAATTCTCTCATTTTTTTTGTAAAGACTCATATTTTTTTATGCTACTTGGAACTGTAGTTGCTAATTTTGTATTTGTTGCTTGAAATGCCTTTTTAACATTATCACATCATTAATCACGTCAAATTAATGAAGAGTGGTTGCAAGCTTCCCAACAGCATGGGAATGCTTGAAGACGCCTGTCTCATACACAAGGACAGACAGTGAGGAGGAACTTCAGGCACAAGAATCCTCTGCCTGGGACCAGTTGGATGCTGATCCAGCTCCACCACTTTCAGAGACACCCAAATACCTGCACCTGATGTTGACCTGTTCCAGTTGTACTGGACCATGGGAAGTGACTGACATTACTTCTCAAAGGCATTCCTTTACAAAGGCATTGAGGTCACTGAGCCAAAATCCTACCAGCCTGTCTGAAAATGCCCTTGGGGGTTTCTTGCATCTGTAACACATACACACCTAAGTATT